CGGAGCAGGGAGCCCGATGCGGGACTCGATCCCAGGACCCTGGGATCATGACCTGAGCCGAAGGCAGACGCTTAACGACTGAGCCACCCAGGCGTCCCATCTTTGACTTTTTTTTAAATAAAGATTTCCGTGCAAGCTTGGGTTTGTCTGATACAAACACCAGAGGGGCGTGGTGGGGTATTTACTTTCTTGTAAAATCCCCTTTTATACCAGCCTGGTGTAAGCTTAGCCTGTACATGTTTGCCTCAAATTTTTTTCAGTATGAGTAAGCCTTGAGAATGCAGAATTCCACAGTGTGCTCAATTGTGCGAAAAAGGGGGGAGGGGGACAAGAATTTGTATGTTTAGGTAAGTACTTGCTTGTACATGAACATACTGTCTATGCCTTTTGGCCCTAACAAATTACCACAAACTCAGTGGCTTAAAACGACAGAAATTTCTTCTCTCCCAGTTCTGGAGGCCAGATGTCTGAAATAAGTTTCACTGGGCTGAAGGTGTCTCCTCCGCAGACTCCGGGGGCTCTAGAATGGAGTTGCCTGGTCTTCTCCGGCTTCTAGAGCTGCATTCTTTGCATTCTTTGGCTCCAGGCCCCTTCTATATTTTCAAAATTAGCAGCATAGCAAGTCTCTCTCTGCTGCAGAGGTCAAATAACCTTTCTGTGACCCCATCTCCCTCTGCCTCTGTTTCATAAAGATACTTGGGTTTGCATCTAGGGCCCAGCCACATAATCCAGGCTAATCTCATCTCAAAATCAAAGTAATTTGCGGAACAGCACATAGCTAGTAAGTGAAGAAGTTGGATATAGTCCTAGATTGACATTGCACTATACTATTAAATTAAAATTCTATTTTGTTTTTCACAAAGCTCTAGTAGAGACTCATCAAATCGATTTCACAACTCACAAATGGGCCACAAGTTAACAAACACAGCCTTGAGATCACCCCTAAACATTTTCTCATTCATGTAGATCTTCCTTGACTTACGATGGAGTTACCTTCCAATTAAGCCATCATAAGTTGAAAATATTGTAAGTTGAGGGGTGCCTGGGTGGCTCAGTAGGTTAAGCATCTGCCTTTGGCTCGGGTCATGATCCCAGGGTCCTGGGATCGAACCCAGCATAGGGATCCCTGCTCAGAGGGAAACCTGCTTCTTCCTCTCCCACTCCCCCTGCTTGTGTTCCCTCTCTCGCTATCTCTTTCTCTGTCAAATAAATAAATAAAATCTTTAAAAAAAAAAAAGGAAAATATTGTAAGTTGAAAATGCGTTTAATACACCTAAACACACTGACCGTCATAGCTTAGCTTAGCCTCACTTTAAATGTGCTCAGAACACGTTAGCCCACAGTTGGACAAAATCATCTAATGCAAAGCCTATTTTATAACAAAGTGTTGGATATTTAATGTAATTTATTAAATACTGTCTGAAAGTGAAAAACAGATTGTTTGGGTGCAATGGTTGTAAGTGTATATGGGTTGTTTATTTTCCCGATAGCATAGCTGATTGGGAACTACAGCTTGCTGCTACCTGGCATCACGAGAGAGGATCATACTGGATATCGCTAGCCCAGTGTTAATTTTAAAAATAAAATAAAAACTGCCAGTTATTTTACTAGTAAAAATGGACTTACTCAAGAATAAAAGAGGATTGTAATCCGGGACAAACAAGTTGCGGCAAAACCCATAGTCGAGTCCAGGGAATAAAGGGGAGGTACCCTTTTTTAAGGAGAAAAGGAGTAGGTTGGGAAGGCTGTTATAAACTAAAAAGTCCACTGGAGTAGATTGGGAGTTCAAAGTATAGCGGCTTCTTGGCTGAGCTGTTTCAGGGGTGTAGGAGATAAGGTAAGTGTTTTTTCTTTCCCCCAGGGATAGTAAAGTAGTACAAGGAGCAAGGTCAAGCCCAGGTAATGTCAAGTCGGTCTCTTCTTCTTGGGTCTGCCACTGATAAGGATGGGTAGGGCAGGAGAGGTCACCCTGTGGAACCTCCAACTCCACTTTAGTGAGGTTTCTGGCTATTAATTTTCACACCAGCAAAAGAGCAAAATTCAAAATTCCAAGTAAAGTTTTTTTTTTTTAAGAGTTTATTTATTTATTTATTTGAGAGAGAGCAGAGCAAGAGAGAGAGGTATCTCGAGTGGGGGGAGAAAGGTGGGGTAAGGGCAGAGGGAGAGGGAGAAGCAGGCTCCCTGGTGAGCAAGGAGCCCAGTGCCAGGCTCCATCCCAGGACCCTGGGATCATGAACTGAGCTGAAGGCAGACGCTTAACCGACTGAGTTACCCAGGCGCCCCCCAAGTACAGTTTCTACTGAATGCATATCATTTCCACACCATGGTAAAGTTGACAAATCCTAAGTGGAACTGTGGCAAGTGGGAAGACCATCTGTATTGGAAATAATATTTAGTATATAGTAAGCCTGGATTAATGTATACCAAATTGTTTATATGTTCTGGTGAAGAGATTGGGGGTAAATTTCATGTTTTATATTTCCATATTATCTGAATTTTTACAAAGAAAATGTATTACAGTAAAAAACGCAATAGGTGGGGAGTGGTTGGGAGAAATGGGTTAACCGGGTTTTGGTGGATCTTTTTTTTTTTTAGTTAAAAAAAATTAAAAACAAGTGTTGGAGACCTGACATGTGCTTAAACTTCCCAAAAATCAGGACAAAGAGATAAAAGGAAAAACAAAAAGCAAAAAACCTAAATGGATATTTAAAAACCCTTTCCATCCTCTCTTTACCTGCAGTATGGAACAGCCCTAGACTTACTCATTTCTATATCTTACTCACTTAGCCCAACACCCGGCGCAAAGTCGACACTAAGCGTGCATGAGCGGAAGGACTCAATAAATGTGCACGCAAGAAAGGACTCTTCACCAGGCCGAAGGATGATAACGTCCAGAGCAAATCCAAAATGCACAAAGTCTACATTTCGTTAACAAGGTTTCAAATCACATTGACACAGGTGGGCATGGGCGGCTTGTTTTAGTGCAATTCACGCCCAATCAGGCGCCTCGAGTTCACCTCTCCGGGCCCCAGCGCACGTGGGGACAGACTTCAAACTCTCCACCCTCAAGTTTCCAGATCCAGTAAACGCAGCGAGCGACCCTTTCGCGCCCGCCAGTCTCACGCATGCACCCTTTCCCTGCAGGGCCCAACGCTTCGAGCCCAGTTCTCCCAGTTCATCCCGGGAATTTACTTCCCCCATACTCTTAATACAACTGTGTCTGGGGCGGAAGTGGGCGGGCGGGGCAGCCGCGCGCCCCGCCCCGGAAGTGGGCGGGCCCAGCGGGCCCCACAGTCGTCTCGGCCACCTCCCAGTCGGGTTGCGGCCGAGGCCGGTCCTGGCTTTGTAGCTCGCTCAAGATGGCGGCGCAGCCACCCAGCGGGATCCGCCTCAGCGCGGTGAGCAGCCGCGAGGGGTGGAGCGGGCCGTGTCCCAGGAGGGCGGGCAGGCGGGCAAGCGAAGGGGGGCCGGCAGTGGGCGGTGGCGACTCGTCGGCGCGGTGCGGCGGCTCGGGCCGCGGTGGGGCCAGGGGAGGGGGCGGCCATCTCGCTCCCGTCGGCGGAGCGACTCGGCGGCGGGCAGGGCCGGGCGGCACGGGCCGGGCTGCGTTCCGTTTCCTCCGCGCTGGGTTTCTGTTTTGCCCCCGCGGCTTTGGGGCGGGCCGGGGCCGCGGCCCCTCCTCCCGGCTCTCTCCTGGCTGCTTCGCCCCTGTCGGTCGAGGGCGAGGCCTCGGTGGCGGGACCGCCCGCCCTTCGGACCGCAGGGCCCCTGACCCTTCCCGGCCTGCGGGCCCGCGGGGCGCCCCGGAGGGGGAGGTAGCGGGAGCGGCAGTCCGCGGCCAGAAATGCCAGGCGGCCTTGACCTCTAGGCGGTGGGACGGGGTGAAGCGAGCCGGGACGGGTCTTCCTGATTCGTTCACATTCCTGCCGCTTCCCTCCAGTTAAGCCCTCGGGCCCAGATCACCAAGTCACTGGGTTCTCCCGTTTCCTCTAGTCTCTCCGTCGTTTCTGTTTTGGGGCGTTCTTGGAAATCCTCCAGCATTTCTTGTATCTAGGAGTCTTAAGTCGTAGGGAGTGGTCACACACAAGAATTGAAATTTCATCTCCTGAAATGTGGGCGTGGCTTTCCTACCTGATAATCCTTAAAAAGTTGGAGTTATGCAGAAGTGTACGTCCTCTTTTGAGGTTGGGGACTCTTGCCAGAGAATGGCTACCACAGTCTTGTTAAATTTAACAATCGAGTGGTAATACCATTGCTTTAAAAATGGTGCATTGCCCTGTGACTTTCATTTAATCATTCTTACCCATACCTGATATTGTTGGGACTTTAACAATTTTCCTGTATGGTGAATGTGAAATGTATCTGGGTTTATTTTGCATTTCCTTAAGTTATTTAACTTTTTTAGAAAACACCTATTTGTATCCTTTGCCCATTTTTCTATTTTCTCTTAGATCTTTATTGATCTATATATAAGCATTCTTTACCTATACTGAATAAAGGTCCTTTGGTTATGTAACTGGCCTATTCAATGAGATAGTATTTAGTAGTTTGAATATAGAGAACAACTTTATTCTTTTACCACTGGGTTTAGATATTGTTTGCTAATGGTTCTCTTCCACGCTTAGGTGAATCTGGGCAGATGTAAGGCTTTCCAATTAGCCTCAGGTATTGTGAAGTCTGGCCTCATCTAATTTAAAATATCTTATTCAATTTAATGCCCAGCCCTCCCCCCTCCTCAGATTGGGCCACATTCTGTACCAAAATCCTGTAGTGGGGAAAAGGAGTGAACTGGTTTCATCCTGTTTCTGCCCTTTGATTCTCTTCGTTTCCTGCCCCCCCCCACCCCCCTTGTTGCTGTCTCAGGTTCTTCAAGATTGAGGTGATAAAGGGAGCAAAGATAAGTGTCAAAACAGTGTTAAGAGACCGGTATTGTTGTTAGCTGGCTTTCTGGGTGAAGCAGCTGTCCATGTGCTAAATATTTCTTTTGTGGGTAATATGGGCTGTTTGGAACCTCATTGACGGTAATCTCCCATCTGCAGCTTCTGGACTGTATCTCCACCCATCTTTTTGCTTTAGGACAGGAATTGGCAGACTGCAGTTCATGGGCCAAATACAGCTTGCCACCAGTTTTTGTATGGCCCATAAGCTAAGAATGATTCTTAAACAGTTGGAGAAAATCAAAAGAATATTTTGCAACATATGAAAATTATGTGACATGGTAGACATTACAGTTTCCATAAAGTTTCGTTTGAATACAGCCATGCTCGCTGTTTGGGTGTAGCTATCAAATGCTTTCATTAGGAGTCTAGGAATTAATGAGTTTATGCATTTGTCCGAAGTCATAAACCTAAGACACAAGGGGTGAACCATAATGATGTATGCACAATTTTAATTTAGGAGGGCAAGAGATCCAAGAACGGAATTCAGAGTGACAAAAACATTTACATTTTTGCTTTCTGCTTTCGTGTTTCTAAGTAAAGTGGTGGTACCATTTTGTTGTTTTCCAGTAGTCCTGCTGTGGATTTAACTGACACGTGCACACTCTTCACCTCGTCCCATCCTTCCAATGCACTTACCTCTTTTTTGTTGAATTACTGTATGATTTATCACTCTTACCATTATTCACAAATGAACCAACCAGAATTATGATTGCATTTTCTTTGTTGTACAGCTTTTTGTTTTTCTGAAGTTAATAATTGTATTTTGTTTGCTTAGATTTGCTCTTTTGTCCAAACTTTAACTGGAAAATCTTTTCCAGATGTGCTCAAGCACACCCAATATTTTGTCAGTTTTGTTGGCTCACTTGTGTTTTGGGGACTTCCCTTTATCATCTTTCTGGAAATTTCCTTCCCCTTTTGTTGTGTCTCCATCCCACATATTACCTCTTTTGGAGTTTACTCCCTTGGCAGGCGCAATAGATTAATGACTGAGAGCATGGGCTCTGGAGCCCACCTGCCTAGGTTCAAATCCTGACTGACAACTGGATATGTAACCTTGGCAAATTACTTACTCTCTCTGTGCCTGAGTTTCCAATCTGAAGGATGGGTGGGCACCTCAAAGGGTGGTTTTAGACAGTAAAGGAGCAAATACATATAAAAGGTCTGTGCATGCAGTAAGCACTCAGTAAATATTGTTATTTTTGTTCCTGGTAGTGGTGGAGCCCATCCATCCTTCCAAAAACAGGTATAGCTTCCTGAGAGCAGAGTACATGGGAAGAAAAAAAATTTATGTCATTTCTTAGAAATAGGTTTATGCTACCATTGCTTGCTCTTTACATATCATTTATCTGGAATTATAATTCTAAATTAGGAATGATTTCTCTTAGAAATTTAAAAACATGCTTTTAGAGTCCTGTGTATTGTATTGGGCACTTAGGCTGGAAACTCAAGTTCTTAATAATCTGGCAAGATTTCTCATTTATTTGACATATTTCTTCCATTTTTCTGTTTTCTTTTCTCTCCTGTTTTCCTACTCATTGTTTCTTTTCTGTGAGATTTCCTCCACATATTCTCCTACCTTTCTCCTACTATTTAACTATTATAATTAATAATTATATTGATTATATATAACTGTATATCTTTTTTTTAAAGATTTATTTGAGAGAGAGCATGTGCACACAGCAGGGAGGAGGGGGAGAGGGAGAGTCTGGAGCAGACTCTGAGATCAGGACCTGAGCTGAAACCAAGAGTCAGACACTTAATGGACTGCACCACCCGGGTGCCCCACTGAATGTCTTTTTAAAATCTTCCCTGGAGAGGGGTGCCTGGCTGGCTCAGTCAGTGGAGTGTACGACTATTGATCTCAGGGTCATGAGTTCAAGCCCCACATTGGGTATGGAGCCTACTTAAAAAAATAAAATAAAATGCTATATATATATACATACACAATCATCTCCCCTGGACAGAATATTTGTTATCACTGGACATATTGATCAAAGTATTTTTCAAGTTTTCTTTTGCTCACTGCATCGCCTCTACTTTCTTTTTCTTTTTTTTTTTTTTTAAAGATTTTATTTATTTATTCATGAGAGA